TGCTGAATGAGTGGCCTGTCAAGGGGCTTCCTCCCAGTCCTGGAGAGGACCTGGCACATGCCAAGTATCAGATCTCCATGGCCTGATGGTAGGCTGAAGAGCTTATGCTTTTACGTCTCCATTAACTGTGAGGTTACTCAAGGGCTAAAGCTTCCCAAGGGCTGAAAGATGAAGCTCTCCCAGAGCTTTGGTGGAATTTGGGCATTCGAGATTTAGGAGCTTGAAAACATCAGTCCAGCTATCCTTCATGACTGAAATGCCCAGGATGCCACAGAATAGCACATTTTCCATGAATGTGTATCAAAGGAAAAGGAAGAATCCCCTCTCAGGTATCAAGAGTTGAAGAAAGAGGAAGAGTATTTTGTGCTCTCACATTAGGCTCATTTCCCTATCTCCAGAGCCCCGGTCTTTCCAAAGTAAGTGAGCAGGGCGTTAATGGAGTCTGCTCCATACTAAAGGAGAAGCTGTGTGATTTGTCCTCTAGATCAGCAGCTCAGTAAAGCAGGCTACAGGAGGAAACTTTTGCAGGTTTGGGAGCATCAAGCCAGATCAAAGCCAAAAGCAGTGTCCTGGTTCTGTTGAAGTCTTTTACTCACTATCAAGTTTTTCCCATTCCCAATCATAATTAAAAAAAGATCAAATACTGGAAAATGTTCCCAAGCTATAAATATTGTTCTTCAAATCCTTGGGGTTTAACTGTGAATGATTCCTTTGGATTATTTTGAAATGTTTGATTTCAAGCACTTAAGAACTTCACTAAAAGTAACATAAGTTTTTAAAGACAATGTCATTTAGAGAGGGAATTTGAAAATATATAAACCAAACCTCTTTATTTCTGGAGGGGGAAAAAAAGCAGAAAAAAAGGTAATTTTAGCTTTACTTTGCTGTAGAACTCAGCTTTACTGAGTTAATATTTTTCTGATGGGAAAAATTGCATTAAATTGACAAATTTCCTGGTCAGTGGTCTTTGTCTTCAGAAGCAGGCTGATGTGCACAGATCCTGCCACTAGTCCTTCTGAGGCTTGCTAAGATGTTAATGTTTGCAGCTGGACTCATCACACTAGCATCAAAGAAGGAATAATATTTAGTATTGAAAATGCCCCAGGTGGAACTCCAGTCCATTTAAAAAAGAGGGGCCAAACACTACGAAGGATGTCTCTGGGATGTCACTTGTAGACCAGCTGCTTTTTCTATGATTACTTTCAACTACATTTTGTTTAAAAGTCTCATAGAAAAATAGAAGTGCATGAATGGAAATAAAAAAATAAGGACATTTGTATGATTTTTATAAATAAGCAGCACAGCAAGAATTAAATAGAACACAGACAAAGGGCATTTATACAGGCATGAACTATTACAGCTTGTTCTCCTCAAAGAGTATCTGTGCATAGACTGTCGTACTGGGAATGCCTTTGGCTTCCTGAATCGGCTTCATAAGTTCAAGTTCAGCGTATGTTAAATTCTCCTCTGCGATTTTCGGCTAGGAAACAGAACCAACAAATTACAGTTATAATGTCATTACCACTGAATGTAAGATGCCTTAAATATTCTAGAGAACGGGCTATATTTCTTCTCTCACACATGCTAATTTTATTATGCTGTTAATCAGTTTAGTCTGCACTGGTTAGTTCATAGAAGGTAAAATAAAAATAATATTAAAAATAAGAAACAGGAAATAGTAGGATTTTCAGGTTCAATTCCAATTTCTCCTTGTTTCTTAACCACTGAACATTTTAATTTGACAATTCAAATATTGCAAATTTGAAAGATGTGTGTTAGCAAATGTTAGCCTCTTTAATCCTAAACTTCCCAATTTAATTTTAGTTATTGAAGATTTCACATTTTGAAATATATATGCCAGATACGCTTCCCAGCTGTAAACCTTGGACTGGTTACATCTCTAATCACAGCCACTTGCAGTACCTCTCATTATGTTTCTTAACAGAACCAAAAAACATGTTAAAATATGCAGAAGGCAGCAAAAATGGGTAGAATTGAGTTAGTCATTCCAATGGGATTTCACCACTTTTGCCATGCTATAGATGAGTTCAGAGTTTAGAACGAGGGCCATACCACCAAAGCTATCTGAGGTATTGCACTGGTTGAGGTTTATACTTAACATCTCTCTTAGCTAAGTTTTATAGTTTTATCGAGGAAAATTTACTGAACAAATTTCATGTGACAGAAGAGCTGCCTACTGCTATTGGGGACTTTGTCCAGACTCACAGTGGTGGCTTAGAGGAGGAAAGTCTTGTCTTGTGTTCCTTTGTGTGTGTTGGCTTATCAGTTGGGATTGGGTTGTTCATATCAAATTCACCTCAGAAAATGTAGCAACAAACAAAAGAGTTGCTGTGGAATTGTACGTGGGCCCCTAGTACTTGGAATGGATTTCAGTTCATCTCTAGAAGATTATAGTCTGTGCTCCCTGAAGAAGGGTGAAGCGCCAAGGCCCGGTGCAAGTGAAGAACTGGAGAATTTATTCTTTTATCTTCTTGGGTACTGTGTTCTGCCTGAATATAACCAGTGTCCTCAAGTTTAAGCCTAAAAAGGACAACTACAACAAAACAAAAACATTTCAGCCATGCGAATTTTTGCAGTCACAAGACTATACCTTACAGAAAAGGTTGCATCTCGGAGACCAAGAAAGGCTTTGCCAGTTGTAAACTGAAAACTGACTCAAAGTTCATAAACCAACATTTTCCATACAGTACTTTGTTACAATGAAGAAGTTGACAGTATTTTCCAATGCCGAGAGTTTCCTTTATGTTTTATTTAGTGCTATTTATTTCTTTCTGATTTAACATAAATGATTCCTGTTTCCTTGAAATGTATTTGAATAATTATTATATTGTCTTCCGGCTAAAAAGATAAACATCTAATATCCTCTGAAATCAGTCCTTGTGCTCCCCTGCTTCCTGTCTTTTGCACTGCTCTGGAATCCTCTCATTTTGCCTTGACAGTTGCTCACACACTGCATTTCAGATTGTTTCCCTCTGGGTGGATCAGCTTACACTTTTCCATCATTAATTTAATCTTATTTCTTCTCTGCAGATCTGATCCTGAAATACTTTGTGCAGCTGCTGCTACAAGTGGTGTCACTGAAGTCAGTTGATCTGTGCATGTGAGTAAAGGCTCTCTGCAGGGCTAACTGTCTGCAGGACTGTAATCTTTGCATCTGAGCTTTCACATGGTCTTCCCTCCCTCCCCCTCTTGCATGGGTAGTCCTACTGGTTCTCAGCTTCTGGTCCTCGTTCACTATCAAATACTCCACTGTTAACTACACAGAAAATTTCCTGCTTTCGTTGAATTCTCTGGTGTAATGATGTAAATTCCTGTGGATCCCAGCCTGATCTTGTATGTAACAGAAATAAAATCACACATTTCTTTGTTCATGTATCGGGACTGAACTGAACCGCAATGTTTAGAAAGATGTCTGTCCTATCTTGGCTTTGGCTTATAGAGTTAGAAAAAACTCTTGGTCAACCACTCTGATACTTAATTAATTTTTATATTCCCCTCTTCTTTCTAGCCTGAGAGTATTAGCCTCCGTTTCTAGGCATTTAAGTTGTTTTTACCTTTTATGATATGTTAAGGATTCCTTTTGAGATTTCAAAACTCTGTCTGCCCATCTGTTCAGTAGGTAGTACAGAGGCTAAATACAGGAGTTAAGTTGAGGCTGGACATCACAATAACACCAGCAAATGTTGAAGATTTTATTATCGGTGTATGATAGCACATCTAGTCTCTATTTGAAGGTATTGCTCCCAACTTCAGTGGGTGTCACCTCAGACCCTCAATGCAGAATGATACACTGCATGTGAAAAGCCTCCTAAAAATGAATCTGATAAAACTTTATAAAGAAGCTGTTGGTCACTGCCAGAGTAAAACTCTACATTTCCTAAAACTGACCCAGTGCATCTTTTGAAGTAGAAGTATTTTCATTGTTCCGTAGAAACCAGTTGCTCAGGGCAAGCTAAATCTGTATATGCTTTCCCCTTTGCTGTTTAATTGTATTTCATGTTATGTTTCCATTTAGAAAATGCCACGTGTCCTAAAATAGCCACCCCAACGCCCAGCTCATGTAAATTTTAGAACTAAGATTTATGAAATCATATTGTCCAGGTGTTTTATTATATTATCTCAAAATTGCATTGTTTTCCAGTGTAGATTATCTCTTTATTCTTACTTTATTCTATTATGTTTGGATATGAAAAATAACACTAGATTCCCCAAAACAGGTCATTGGGCAGTAGTGGCTGATGTGTTGCTTTCATACATTTTTATGATGTTCCTATAGTAAACATAATTTAATAAAGCCAAAACACACTAAATAAATAATTGCATCTAGAAAAGCAATAAAACCAAATAAAATTAGTACTTTCATAAGTGGAAAAGGTACTTCAATTACTGCTACAAGCAACAGCACACCATAAAATGTGTAGAATAATTTCCCTTATGCATATTTCTAGTATGTAATAATTTGATTGAAAATATGAGGAAACACACAAGAGGTTCAAAATTGTGAAGGGTATACAGTTTTCAGCAAAGGATGCGTAATAACACTGCATGGAAGCCAACACTACTTTAAAGTACCTATGGAAGCCAGGGTTTTATTCCATACACTCTTCTGTACTTCATTTATCAACCACATGTTTAATTTAATTTTGCTGGTTTGTTTGTCCAAAACCAATTTTTTTTTTGAACAGGCAGGGAAAGAAAACTAATTCTACGATTTCATCTCTCATTTGGATTGGATAGCATTTTGGCAGTGTAAACCTGGAATCCTGCCACCACCTCCTTTTTGGAACAATAGCATGACTTTAATAACTGATGTTATGGGTGGGACTGATACTAGGGCAGAAGAGGAAGAGACAGTGAACGAATGGCCATGCAACTCTCTCTTTCCATCCTGGCTCTTCACTTAGGAGGTCATTGGGATTTCTATGGCTACAACATCCTTTCCTGAAAAATTACATCATTGTTCTAAAATAACATTGAAATGATTTCTTCAAATAGATTTCTACTCCAATGTGACATTTCTAGATACAGTCTTTATCTCATATGTCTGTTTTCTCGTCTTGGGATCACACACATTGCAGAAATATAAATTAGGAAGAGTCATCATTTTCCAGTGTATCTTCTGGCAAATGCAAAATTATTTCTCTTCCAGATTTCTTCCAGTTTTAGTTTATTCCAGTCACAGGGCTTCCCATGGGCAACTATTCGAAAGAGTTCACTTATAGGAACATTTTTCTTAATAAACAATCTGCAAAGTCTATTGTGAATATTTAAAAGAAACTGAAGTATGTGTATGCATAGTTTTGTTTTTATTTGGTTTGTCCAGTATATAAATGTGTTAGCAATTACCTAGAAGGGTTGGGTTTTTAATGAAAATTACTCTGATTTTTATGTCATAATTACCAAGAATGTCAATTTTGCTATTCCTAGGCTTAGCTGGTTTGTTTCTTGGCAGCCTCAAGGATGTTTGCTGTGAGCACTGTCAGAGTGAAAGTTCTTGAAGTTTTAACTAAGACCAATTTTATCCAAATTTGAATATGAGGAAAACAAGCAAATAATAACCTCATAAATTTAACTTGTCTGGAAAAACAACTAATGCCAACTTGCACTTAGTTTGCTGCAGTCTCACTGTTCCATGACTGCACCAGTTACCATGAAGATGACAAAATGAATGTGAATTTCTAATAGTAAACTAGAATCAGGGGATTTTTTTTTTTTAATTATCAAAAACAAGCAGAAAAGGGCTTACTTCCCACTTCACTTCAATCTTAAATATTTTAGTGACTATTGTTGCAGACATTTGCCTTGGAATTCAGCATCTATATGATTGTATGTGATGGAGTTTTTGTTTGGGATATGATGCAGAATGACTTTAACATGGGACCAGGGCAAGAAAATTATGTTTATAGACTAAACTGAATTTTCACCTTTGAGTTTTCTGGATTTAACAAGCATATGTCCCAAGTTCCAGTCAGAGTTTCATAATGTTTTTAGTAACTCAGATTTCCTGCAGCAACACTTGAAAATGAAACCCCACCCTCACTGGCATGCCCTGTGCTCGTGGGTGAATGGATTAGGTCAGCAAGGATAAAACCTTGCCAATTATGTATAGGCTTGCTGGTCTGATTGCCAGTACATGGCAAGTGGCCACCTATGGACTGGCTGTGCTGTGCTGTTGGGTGCACACTGCAGAGCCAGGGGGATGCTGTAGGAAGTGCAAATGGGAAAGGTACAGAGTCAAGAGGTGGTGGTGAGGTTTGTTTGATCCAGTCTCTAGGAACTGCACTTCTCTCCAGGTTACTCCACGGCACAAAGCAAGCAGCCCTGCCCCAGTGCCATTAAGTAGCTCGCTCTTAGCAAGCACATGCTGGAACTACCATTTTTTCTTTCCCTTTCTCTTACCAGATCTTTGGCCTTTTCCCTTTCATATTTGAGAAACATCCTGTTTTGTATTCATGCTCG